AAGCAGCATTTCCCTATATTTTTACATGCTCTCACTAAGATGGTCTAGACATATTTTACTGAAAATTACCAAAAGGTGGAGTTGTGGCTATTTTTTATTGGATGGACAACCAAAGCATACCTTTTGTATGAGACAGAGTTCATTCCAGGTGCCATACAAATAGTAGCAATATCAGGAGATGGCTTTGAAGAAACCTGTAAGTACCAAAGCAGCCTAGCTGTGGTCACACAAAACTCCTTACAGGGTATTTTACCTTAATGAAGAGCTCTGTACACTGAAAAGAAACTGCGTCAGGGTTTTTAACTCACAGATAAAGTTGACCTAAGTGTCTCTGAACTATGGTGTTGTGTGTCTAGACATACCCTGTGGTCACTAAACATCTACTGGTATTTTGTGCGAAGTGTAGGGCACTTCATGCCTTGGCCAGTAGCCAGCCTGGCTCAGTACTTAGACCTATGTGCAGCTCTGTGGTTTTTGTTCACTGACATATGTTTGTTTTGGTTTGAGTCCATAAGGTTTGCACACTTGAGGTTCACTTTGAGGTTTCAAGTTCAGTGAAACATCAAGTTTTGCCTGGCTTTTGGGTTGAAACCTCAAGCCTAATGGTAATATTTTCTCTATCTGTAGATGACAAAGAGAAAGGTCATTGAAAAGCAAACCCCAAAGCCTGATGCTGGCTGAAAATCACCAAGCATTCAAATGGAACATTCCCTGCAGAATTTTGCAATTGCGTGTTTCTACCAGAATTAGCAGCTGTGCATTTTTCCGATAAACACAAGTGTATTAGTTGCATTCTGCTTTAGATGAAACTACAGCATTACTCCAAGTTTCTGCTGTTTTTCTCTTCCTACTTCCTGGGTGGCACTGTTAATCACTGTGCAAGGGTGGCAGATTTTGGCTGTCATAAGCAGAAAGCTAAATTTATGTTAAACCCATGGCCAGATACTTGTTTGGTTTAAGTTCTATTACTTCTGACCAGTCTCTGCAGTGCCCATGTTATGTTTAACCAACTGCTTCTGCTTTCTATGACTTCAGGAAGTAAGACCCAAAAGGGACTATTCCCAAAAGGAAAAGCTGGTGTGCTAAAGGTGGTAGGGTAGCTTTCCTCTTTTGAGTCCTAATTCTTGTCTGGCGTTGAAAGGTTTTAAGTCTTGTTCTCTGTAATAGTGCAACTTTCTCATACCTGGGATCCAAAGCTTCATTTTCAGTGTTTGATGAATCTTACTCATAGAGAGCCTCTTGCAGTAGAGTTGCAATGGAGTACTGTACCAACCAGATAATTAGCCATACGAAGAAGTGTACTGAATCTGGTTAAGAAGTGCATGAAAATTACTCCACAGAAACTGAGTAGCATTTAAGCAGTCATGAATTATGTTTAGTTTGGGCTGTCTGTATATTGCTGTAATTCTTCATGTTGATCTAGAGTCTACTCTGCTGCTGAATCTTCTACTCCAAAGCCTGTTCCCTGTGGACAGTTACATCAAATCCAAGGTAGTTAGTGTATTCCTAAGGTAGCATGAAGCTACACTAATATGGAGCAGGATTTATGATCAAATGTTTGAGAACACATTGTCAAATGCCAGCAGTAAAATGGTGTTGGGAAAATTTCTATTCATAAGCTGTCAAGACAACATCCAAAACAAGCCCAGTCCTTTCCACATCTTCCAGTCCAAAAGCTTTCATGTGAACTCAGGCAGAAATTATGTTAACCAGAAACTCATACCTGTACCCTCAGCTGTTCGGTTTGGACAACTTCCTACTTCTTCATTCACTGTAATGAGAGAGAGAAAATGTGCTATGGAGTTCAAATGAGAGTCATTTTAGACAGGTAATTTTAGAGTCTGCAAATGAATTAGTTTGTGTGTTAGCAGTACCTAACAGAACAAAGTACCTATGCTGGAGAATTGGAGAGGGAAGAGAGAGTTAGTTACCCACACTGGTATCAAAGAATTCAGTGGAGAGGTTATCTGAAGGAATCTCAGTGTAAGAATTAGATTTTTAAGCTCTGTGTCTGCAGAGCTATCTTTCACAAGGAGCTTTTGCTCATCTAAGTATTTTACATTACTGAAGAAATTATGACTGGTCTTTCTCTCTGTAATTCTTGTCTCTCTCCCTCCCCCATTGTTTGCATCTAACACGACTCTGTATTTCTGGGTCATACTTAAAGGTACATACTTTGTGTACCTACATAGGGGATTATTCACAAGCTTCCCAAAACATTTATAAATACTGTAGGGTCCCCTTTTCAGGTCTGTTTGAAAAACATGTCCTGTATTGCGTACTCTGAATAAACCAGCATCCTCAAACTCCATGTTGGTTCAGCCGTAATTCTGGCTTCCAAGAATAGTTGAGGTTTCACATGCATCTGGTCTTTGATCTTTCTCCTGTTTCTCATGGGTAACACATGGCAGAACACTGGAATCGTTATCAGGGTGACTGGGGTTTTAGTGCTTTGGTTAATAGTTGAACTGGAAGCATTTAAATATCAAAACAATCATCAGATTGTGGCAATTTGGAGATGCTCAAATGAGTATGCAAACTCTCTTCATTCCTTGACTCCTTCTCTTTGTTTTTAGTGCTAGATCTAGGTAAGCACATGCAATCCAGTATTTCTCATTAACAGTGTAGTGAAGGCTGTGTATGCAGGAAATGCACAGGTTATGGAAACACTACCCCTGGGTGTTTTCATGATGAAGTTGCAGCTGACCTGATGTAATGGTGATGATAGACAGGGGGTTCACCAAGTCACCTGCAGAGGACACTTCCAACAAACGTACAGAATCATAGAATGGTTTAGGTTGGAAGGGACCTTAAAGATCATCTAGTTGCAAGCCCCCTGTCATGGGCACAGGCATCTTCCATTAGACGAGGTTATTCAAAGCCCTGTCCAACCTTTCCTTTAACACTTCCAGGGATGGGGCATCCACAGCTTTGTGGCTCTACATCAGAACAGATGAATGAGCTACAAGTGTCAAGTGGGAAAGATCACAGAGTCAAGAACTCCTGCAGCTCAGACTTTGAGAATGAACGAGAAGCCATGCTGAACCATGTTATTCTAATTGCTGTAGGTTAAGAACAATGAGACTGTGACTAGGACAGCTCCTCTTACCTTGTAATCCAAAGCCCTGAAGATACTTATTTTGGTGCACTGAGTCTCTGCCTCAGTAATGTTTATCTTTTGGACTTTATCTTTCTGGGTGTACCAATATCATTTTCCAACAAAGACTTGCGAGTGCTGAAATTATAAATCCCACAGGTGAAAATGCCCTCAGATGACTGCTGTAATCTTGTGATTTCTTTGCATGCAGTCCTGTGGCTCTCCTGAACGCTAACTGCATGCTGAGGGTGAATGCTACAACTGGATTTTACATGGAATTTAGGCAACTCCTAGGTGCAGCCCATTGCAAAACCTCTTTCTGATAAGAGCCAATGAGAACAAGCTACAACTGCCTTGTGCAAAATTTTGCGATCTGCTATTGCGTGAACAGTTGGGGAGGTTGAAATCATCGCAAAAGAGCACTTGGGTTCTGCTCTGATTGCGCTTCCTCGTGTGAGTGCTAGATATCTCTCTTCTGTGGAATTCTGTGCTTGATCCCTATCATATAACTTTGGAGCTTGCAATGGGATCCTGTGCAAAGCAGCTGTGCGGATTCACAGCAGCTATCTTCTTACATTTCCCTGACACCATGTACAGTTTCAGTGTAAAGAACCAGGGAGCGCAGCACTGAGAGGTGGTGCCCGGCTTTGCAAACAAAGGGGACGGAGGACTCTATGCCACCTGCTCTGTCACTTGAACAAATGTTAGGCATAAAACAAGCTACAAACTGCTAATTGTTTGTTGGATGATAACTTTATGCAGCAGCAGTTGCATCGATCATCAAGGTCGGCTTTTCTGCTTTTGTTTCTTCAGCGAGCCAGTCCCTCGGTTCCATGCTCCTATAGGCAAGATGGTGAAACAGCCAAGGATATTAACTGCTTGGTGCCCTGACAGTGAACAATGTTGTGGAGCTGCACGCCCTTATTCGGGGACTGCCAGGGATGTCCAGATGTTTCTGCGTTAAACAATGTGGCACAACACCTCTGCAGGAATTGGCAGACAAGAGCTTGCTTCTTTATTTGGATTGAAAGATTTTGAGTCAGCAATGCCAGGAAAACATTGCCACCGTCCGCAAACCAGAAACCCCTGCCCTGTCCATGCGTGAGGAAAAAAGCTTTCTGCTTATTTTTTTCCCGATTATTTGTGGGGCAGTGTGTTTACTAAAATGACCATTTATGAAGACAGTGAACACCCCTCTGTTTCCTGTTGTAGTTGCTCATGAGCGTGGGCCTGAGTGGGAAAAGGAGTGGTCTTGGTATATAGCTTATTAGGCTCAAATAAATTATTCAGAACACAGATTTAGATACAGATTGCAGGGAACGATAATGGAGTTGGTTTTCTGAGCCTGTTCATGTTATGAAGACGTGGAGTACGCTTTTCAGGAATTAATTTAAGTGGAATCAGCTTTGAATAACGTAGCCTGGAAGTAATATTGCTGCCATCCAGCTAGTATCTGTGGAACAGCATTCTCCTGCCTCCTGAAGCACTGGTGTTGAAGATGGATAGATAGCGAGATACTTATTTTTTGGCCTTTTTTTTAATTTTTTTTTAAGGGAAATTCTTTCTAACCGCTAGAGATGGGCATGTTTTTGTAGAATTCTTTTTCCCCCCCGAGTGAAACAGTGGACCACATCAGCATCCGATTTGGGTGCGTCATGTGGTTTCTCATGTGATGCTGGTCTCACTGCGCTTTGGAGAGTGAGCCTTTGTGACTCCGCACTCTTGGACAGTAGCATCCAGCATCACAGGAGACTTTGGGAAGGGAGAGGAAAAGACGCCTCCCAGAAACCTCCAAAAACCCAGAAAAATAAAGTTACAGTAATTTATTATAGTTATTGTTTCTTCTTAACTGTTCTGGCTTTTATTTTTAATTCTGGGTCTTCCCTTTTTTCCGTTCCTGTAGGCACAAAGCTATACCGTTCAGAAGAAGCGAGATTGTCTTTCCCTACAGCTACGACACTGCGCTGATCTCGACACAGCCTGCTTTTCCCTCCATTTACCTGGGCGGCTGCTGCTGTTTCTGCTGCTGCTGAGGCTGCCACAGTCTCGCTGCCTGCACTTCACCCCGGCTTGGCTGACTCAAAACTCACTCGTCTGCACATTGCTACGAACAGCGATGGAGTTGCTTTTTTTCTGTTGGTTCTGGAAGCAAAGAGTTGCAATATGTGATGACTTTGGGATTTTCTTTGGGGGGGATGTGGAGGGAGGAGAAAGGAGGGGTGTTATTCTAGGTTGGGGTGGGTGAAAGCTTAAAGAAATATTATGTAAAGTAATCCAGTGCTTGACAAGGGCATCAGCAGCAAGAATCCAGCCTCTGCTTCTCCAGAGGATTAACATGGGGAAGCCACAGTGCTGCAGTCGGGTTTCACCTCAGCGTTGTGCTGGAGATGGATAAATAAGGTATTGGTTGTGTCTGCCTGTTAAGGCAAAGCCACGGGAGAAGGAGAGAGCGAGTGAATGCAAATGCAAAGGAAGAAGAAATGCTACATGCCGTTTGTCTGATTCTGGGCATTCTTATTGCAGAGAGGATGGCTCGATTAACAAAGAAATGTATGGATGGCGGGGACTGTAAATTGTAGCTTGAACACTCCTGAAGCTGTCAGGGAAGGAACAGATGAGCTAGGTGGTTGCAGCGATATCCCCAGGGAAAACAGCAGCCATGCACTCTGTGTGTATATATATGTATGTAAATGCTTTTGTGTGTGTGTGAGCATGTACAGACATGAAAGAAAGACATTTCTGACCAATTTACAGAGGAAGTTTGTCACTTCGCTAGGTCAGACTTGATTGCAGCTTGCATTTTCAGCTATAGCTCTACACCCATTTCCTGACTGAGGCGGCACTTTGTGAAAACAGATGGTAGGCAGAATTCTTTTAAGAAACGTGAAAGCAGATCCTTTCCGCTTAACACCTTGAAGCACTGAGTCTTCTGCACTGTGCTGTGAGAAACTGTGGGGTTTCGTTTCTCCATTTTAAAATCTTTATAAACACAGCTGTATTCAGTATGGTGAAAAATTCTATACTGTAAATAGAAATGTGATCAATCTAATCAAAATAAATGCATCCCAGATGACTTCTAGACCAGCTGGCTAACACAGTCATCAGAAGCCTGAATGCTCAACTCAGCATTTATATTCAGCGTTATATTTATGTCTTTCTTCTTTTCCTTTGTAGAATTTCAAAAAAAGAATTCTTCATTTATTGAGAAAGGCAATGCTCGCATTTGATGGTAGATTTTTCTGAAATGTTACCTGGGTGTATTTTTTATTGCCAAATGTGCATGGGGGAGAGCATGTGTTCAGAGCAGGTAGATTTGTCACAGTACAGGCACGTTTAGGTTGGTAGGCAGCTCTTCTTGGTCATGTCTGAAAAATGTGGAAATGGGGGAAACAAGCACTGCACTCAGCTAGGGGCTTGGCATGGCTTCTAGCAGCTGCCAGTCGAGAAGGAGGTGGTTTGGTTCTTTTTTCCTTTTTTCCTTTTATACAAATCCATAGACCATAATGTCATCCTAAAATGTGTACAAGGGGATTTCCCAATAGTCACGGTGAGCTACCCTGCGAGACGCCTGTCTGGCCCTTCCACTATTTGTTACCCAGGCTACAAAGGCAGCCCTGTGTGTTGGATTATATTTAGCCAGCTGTTGGATAACGTTCTTGTGCTGGGGGCAAAGGAGTCTTATTACTTCCAAAATGTAGTTTTCTCTTTGCTTAAAGAAAAATAACCTTGGCAATACAGCAGGCTCTAGAAAGGAGCTTATGTCACTTCTATACCTTTCTGAAACTGTCATGTGCTTCTAACTGAGGCAGTTTGAAGCAAGCAAGGAGGAGAGAGAGACTTAACTCACAGCTTCAAAGCTGCAGAGACAAGCAAAATGTCAGCAGCTTGTAATTAGGAGTCCACGGTTACGTCAGTGACTGTATCGCTCCAAGAATAGCTATTTGATGTGTGCCACAAAGCAGAGGAAGACAGTCATAACCTGGTTACCGAGCCGGGTTCAAACAAGAAAGAGCAAAATGGATTAATGAATCTGCTGTGTTCCTAACTCAGATGTGGATGGATTTACATGTGCAAGGCTTGCTGAATTCTGCAGCAGTGAAGACTGAATTATCAGTTTGTCAGAGGGCATGCGTTCACCAAGTGGAAGTGTGAATCCTTCAGAAAAAAATGCAGATGAACCATCTTTCCTAGAAAATGCCTTTCCCATCTCCATCCTGAACAGACAGCTGCTTGTCACGGAGGCATGCTCTGAAGGGAGACACAAATGAGGCGCACAGAGGTGTTTATAAGCAAGGGTGTAATTAAACACAAAGCAAGCATGCTGAAATTCTGTTCTTGCATTATGGATTTGATACTGAAATACCACCCCAGAGAAGGCTGACTAGGGTCTAGTGTGGTTTATATTAAGGCTTCTCTGGCAAAGAGTAGAGGGAGGGGGGAAAGGGCATCATGCAGCATCTTGCAGCCCAGTCAGAGTCCCCAGGGCTGTGTCTGTGTGCGCTTAAAGGCGCCGGTCCGCACCCCGCCGGCAGCTTTCTGACCTCCACAATTATTTTTAGGTCTGCACAGGCAACTCGGCAGCATTTAAGTAGTGAAATTGCAGGGGGTGCTTAATCTGCTCTGACTGGCCTTTCTCCGTGTTGTGGCTGGCAGATGTTTACAGGGCTTTCATCGGTATCCCCTCTGCAGTATTCCACGCGGATGTCTGTCGGTGTTCATGCCGCCCAGTTGCTAGAAGCCTGGTGTGGTTCCCTGCTCCCCACAAAGGTCGGTTTCAGTTCAGCTCTGTTTATGTCACTTTTTAATTTACCAGGATAGGTAGATTGCATTATGCAAACAGTGGGGTGGGGTTTCTGTTGGGTGGTTGTTTTTTTTTTGGACTGCGAACACAAACTTGTAGGAGATGACTGTGTATATTAAACCAATAGCTTTTTGAATTGTGTGTAGTATAATTTAAATATACTTACTTTAATTAATAGAAGGTTACAAAAGCTGGTATTGTCTGTGGCTGTTTAATTTACATCTTAGGTTTAGTCAGTGAGTATAACCTGCCTGATTAGAATAGTGTATTCTACACGGCCAACAGGGTGGAAGACATTATTTTGTTTGTGTTGGTTCAAACAGCTGGTCATTAATGCAGGCTCCATCTCCAGAGTGAAGTGCTAGTGGACATGAATGGATGCCTGATTAATGCTGTCCCTCGATGGGTCCTTCATCCAGCAGCGATGCTCGCAGCAGAATAATGCAGCATGATTTGATTGCGCTCTAACAGGGTAGTATGTCATTGTGTCACCGAGCAATCGAGGTTATTAGGGGGCAGGGCAGACAGACGGGACAGTGGGGTTACTAGACCGTGGCATTTTTAGAAATGCAGGCCTGACCTACTTAGAGTTATTCTTGCTGGCTGGCAGCTGCCTGGTGCAGGGCTCCCCCTGATAGGCTGCGGCTGTTGCTAGGGGGAATTAGCATGAATTTTTCCACATACAGACTCAGTGATTGAATGATAAAAGCTGACTAGAATTAAAGAGATTCGGTTCAGTATTATGCAGATTTATCTCCCTCATTTTTTTTTTCCCCTCTCTCAAATGCATATAAAGGAGCAGAAGACAGTTTGTTTCTATTTATTTTTGACCTATTTTTCTTTTCCAAGGGAGGGCAGAAGTGTTATGAATTTTTGATCATCATTTACTATTTAAACCATTGAAATGATATGACAGTGGGCATGCATCTTTAATGTATGGGAGATTCAACTGCTGTCTCTTTGGAAGGGAATGAAATGAATATATTTTGTGTTCTGGTCAGACTGCCACCTCTTTCTATTTGAAGCCATGTCAGATTCCCTTGTCTGGAAAGGGGAAACATATACCAGGTTTTATTGCATAACATTACTCTTGGTTATTTTTAGCTATCTGTACTTTACAAAATTAGTCCTATGTTTATGTTGGTGGATGAAATTAATCCCCAAACTATGTATCCTATATGCAGAGGCAGGCGCCTCGGGTATGCTGTAGTGTTGTGCGTCATGTCCATCTGAAATGGTGTTTACATATTACAGACATATCAGCACTGCATACCTAGCAGAGAACCAATGCCTGGCCTGTAATCATATCAATTGGAGAACCTCTTCTGGATTTTGGAGTCTTTTTTAGGCTTTAGTTTGAAGCTGAATTCTGTAGATGGCCCTTTGTTATTTGCCCACATATGGCTAAAATAGTGTTATCTTTTTAGAGAACTCTGCTCCCTCAGGAAGCAAATAAAACAATACTCAGTGAAGAATCCTTTGATGTAATTATGAATATTTCCTTTGTTATTACGGCTAATTATAGAAGATCTTTGTTTAAACCACAAATCCCCTCTGTGTGATCCTTTACCATACAGAGAAGTTACAATTTGGTGCAAAACATCATGACATCACATGCAAGGAATTGGAAATTTTTGAAGTAAGAGGCAGTTTGGGGTGGGGGAGGGGACCTAAATGCATTCAGAAGTGCAGAATAAAAAAACGTGGCTTGGTGTGTCTGAAACAGTTTCATTTGAAATAGTCTGGAGAGCCAGCAGTCCCCCTGGATGCCAAACTCCTCTGTCTTGGACCCTGGAGTTTCTTGGGAAGGTATGAAGAGGAAGCAACTGGAAATGGACACGTGCATTTGAATACATTTTGTGGCTGAGACAAAGCAGTCAGTTCCTACAGATTTGAATTTCCTGTCTCTTTCCTGGCCTTGATTCATTATTGAACTCACACCTCTTCTTTCTCTCTTCCTTTGCAATGGTCCCATGGAATGCCAATTTTTTAGAGAAGTGAAAGTGAAGAAAGGCACTATTCCATGCCTAGTAATTGTGTTCTCCTTGGTTGTCCCTAGAAGTGACTTCAGAAAGTGAAACAGCAGCTTTGCTCCCACTCCCCTCCACACTTGTTAGATCCAAGCCTGATATCTTGATCAGCTTTCCTATAGGATTCTATAAGTGGTTGTGGCTTCCCATCTGAACTGTGTCATGATTCAGCTTATCTCAGTGCCCCCTCAGTGGTTCGTATGCAGGTGGGCAGCCTTTTTTGCTAAAAGAAGGGAAGAACTGGCATGGAAGTCAGCTCCTGATGGGAGTAAAAGCCAGCTTTGCTTTTAGGATGGTAGGCAGCAGCCAGCCTTTGTGTGCAATTGTCTGTTGAGGTTCTTGCCCTCATTGGTTTTAGACGTTTTTGGTTTCATCCAGTTCACCTGGGATATTAGCTAACTTGGACTTCAGCAAAGCAAAATGAGTGTGCGATATTATATGAATTTCAGCAGAAATTAATTTTCTAGAAAAACTGAGTGTCATCTTTCTGAGTGTTGTCTTATTTTGGTATATTCCTTTAAGAAAGATGAAGTCCAAAGAAAACCAGCAAAAAATATGAAGCATATACTCTGTGGAAAAGAGTGGTATCTTTGATGTTTGTTTGGGACTTCAACAAAGTGAACATTTGTAACAAACATCAAATCACAGTTTAACAAACCATCAAGTGACATATTAAATATGAGAAAATTTGGTGCACCAGGAACTGTATTCAACATAAGGTTATTTTTCTGAAAGTCCCTGTAATGGGAATTTTTCCAAATAAACTAATGTGAATAATATGATCATAATACTTTAGGTAATTAGAAGTAGCAGAAATATGGAGTTAATGAAATAATCAAAATATGAGCTCTCTGTATATGTATAAAGCATAAGAAACAGGATGCCAGAGGAGTTCGAAAAAGTCTGTGTTGAAAATATTGTCAGTTGTGCACATTCCTTTGAAAAAACACATTAATCATTTTCTGATGATCTCCTCTGAGGTTTCTATTGTTGCAGCAACTTACACCTCCTACCTTGAAGTTGCTTACCTACAAAAGATTGTGTTGTATTGTTCAACATTCTTGTACCATGACCTCTCCAGTGAGCTATGAAAGATCTATTATGCTGAGCTTCGTGCTCTAGGGTAGCTAAGCTACTGCTGATTTACTGGTAGCATATGCAGGCAATAATTTTTTTCTTCCCAGCAAATGACCCAGAATTCTTGCCTCCCTTTGCAGCTGTGAGATGGTTGTGCTTCTTGGTGTATTC